GGCGTGTGGCACCGCTTTCAGTTCAGTACACCCTATCCTAAGTGTGTGTGTGTGTCAAACCCCGTTCCAAGGGGCGCTAACCTACTCTACTCTATTTCGCTGAATCTCGCCTGTTTTCACTACCTTGTACAGCTGCAGGGGAACTGGGCACTCTGTGACTGACCCAGTTCAAGGAAGCTAGGTCAGAGTGGGATATTCGGCCTGATCAGCCGAACCTACCTGCGTCACATGTTTGGAACCACTTTCAAGCTGTCCACTACGGTGTTGCGCAGTAAGCGGCTAATGAGCGCTGTTAAAGCATTTCTGTTTTTCCGGACTTTGCATTCTTGCCGTTCACCAAGTCAAGGTCTATTTTGCAATAAGAGTAAAGTGCTAATGCTCACCGTGAATCTCTGAAGCCACGCTCCACGGAGCGCTCATCTTAAGTGTGATTCGCAGCTTCTTCCCACTGTGGTAAGCTGTGTGAACCCTGCGGGGCGCCGTTACTGCGTTGATCTTCCCCTCCTTCCTACAGGAGAATTGATGTTTTGTCCTCTTTGGACCTCTGACTGAATTCCCCTGCTGAAGTTTGATGCTCGAAGTGTGATTGACGAAAATGTTTCGCGCAGCACTCGTGAAGGACCGCTGCAGAGCTTACATCCACTCTGAAATATTGTTTCACCCCCAGTTTTTAAACAGAATTTAACAATTTTTTTAACAGAATTTAACAAATTTTATCATCATTTCGCAGAATTTTCAATCGTTCTCGCATACGCAATTTTCCCAACTATCTTCTAACCTACTCAGCTAAGCTGCCTTTGCATGTTACAGTACGTATTTCATTGCTGTGAACTTGACTTGGGCCGCAGCCATGACTTATCCTTGGCCATAACCGCATGACCTATTACCTTCCACAACCCTTTGACCCACACACACGTCCACCCACCACAACCACACCCGCCGCCACCAGTCACAATGGTCGCAAACACCCCACCGATTATCCAATATCCAGACACTTTCCCCCGCTCAATCTCCTATTAACCATTTGTATCACATCCACAAGCCCCACACCCACACCACCACTCACACCCATACCAAGCGCCGCCATATCATCCTCCCCCACCACTGCAATTGCATCAACGTCCACCAACGCAGCACAGTCACACCGGGCTCCCACCACCTAGCCACGCCGTGTCCACTACTTCTCACACTCCCCTTCAAGTATCACCACCGACACAGCAATTACATTCCCACACTACAGCCACTCCCGCCACTCAACCAACTCACCAATCCACCGCTCAGACAACAACTGATTCACCTCCACCTCCACCGGCCCCCACTCAACCAGTCAAAGCATCCACGCATTCTCAGACAGAAAACCCTCCTACGCCATTACCCACCACACCCAGCATCCAATCAGAAAGACCTCGCCGACCTACACCTTCAATCGCGCCCACCTTATCCACCGCCAGAGGCCCACAGCGCTCACCACCACGCAGCGTCGAAAAACACCGATACTCAACTTTCCCACCCACTGTTCAGTGACATCAGTAGCCACATCTCGTTCACGAACTCGATCGCCTCTACCTCGACACAGAAGCAGAACGACGCATTCTGTCCAAAATGCATGTCGAACACCTGCAAAACGAAGCAATTCTGCACCGGACATGAAAGTGCCATTTACATTGCGGGAACGATCCTGAAGATGCAAAACACAATGAAATTCCAGCAGCAACTCATCCACCAGCAACATCTGCAGTCACATTTACAGTGTGGAAAGCATCCAGGAGTTGCAAAACACAATGGAATTCTATCAACAGCACGCGCGCAAGAAACAGGTGAAAACTCTAGTTACAATGGAGGGACGATTCGAGCATGATCCGAACATGACGCGAGACCTTCCGGCAACCGTCGTTCCTCAGAGCTTGACTTGCCAGGTTCGGAGCCGCCCTTTGTATTGAAAAACACAACATGTCGCGCTTCCCCTATCTCTCAAACACGCACTTTGTACGAGATTTCCTTCCAAAATGCGTGTCGAACACCTGCAAAACGAAGCGCTGGAAGACATGATCCAACCAGACATGAAAGTGCCATTTACATTGAGGAAACGATCCTGAGTTTGCAAAACACAAAGAAATTCCAGCGACGACTCATCCACCAGCAACGCTTGCAGTCACATTTACAGTGCGGACACCATCCAGGGGTTGCAAAACGCCATGGTATTCCATGAACAGTGCGTACGCAAAAAACAGGCGAAAACACTAAGACACTGGAGGGACGATTCGAGCATGATCCGAACATGACGCAAGACCGTCCGGAAACCGTCAAGGTTCGGAGCCGTCCTTTGTATTGAAAAACACATTTCGTGCTTCCCCTATCTCTCAAACACACACTTTGTATGAGACTTCCTTCCAAAATGCATGTTGAACACCTGCAAAACGAAGCAATTCTGCGAGACTTCTTCCCAAAATTTAACTGGAAGACGTGATCAACCAGACATGAAAGTGCCATTTGCGTTGCGGGAACGATCCTGAAGTTGCAAAACACAATGAAATTCCAGCGGCAACTCATCCACCAGCAACACTTGCAGTCGCATTTACAGTGCGGAAACCATCCAGGAGTTGCAAGACACAATGGAATTCCATCAACAGCACGCACACAAGAAACAGGTGAAAACTCTAGTTGCAATGGAGGGACGATTCGAGCATGATCCGAACATGACGCGAGACCGTCCGGAAATTGTCGTTCCGCAGAGTTTGACCTGCAAGGTTCGGAGCCATCCTTTGTATTGAAAAACGCAACATTTCGCGCGTCCGCTATCTCTCAAACACGCACTTTGTACGAGATTTCCTTCCAAAATGCATGTCGATGAACGCCGGCAAAACGAAGCAATTCTGCGAGACTTCCTCCCAAAAAGTAACTGGAAGACATGATCAACCAGACATGAAGTGCCATTTGCATGGCGGGAACGATCCTGAAGCTGCAAAACACAATGAAATTCCAACTACTCCACCAGCAACACAACCATCCAGGAGTTGCAAAACACAATGGAATTCCATCAACAGCACGCGCGCAAGAAACAGGTAAAAACTGTAATTACAATGGAGGGACGATTCGAGCAAGACCGTCCGAAAACCGTCGTTACGCAGAGCTTGACTTGCCAGGTTCGGAGCCGCCCTTTGTATACAAAAACACAACATTTCGCGCGTCCGCTATCTCTCAATCACGCACTTTGTACGAGATTTCCTTCCAAAATGCATGCCGATGAACGCCTGCAAAACGAAGCAATTCTGCGAGACTTCCTCCCAAAAGGTAACTGGAAGACATGATCCAACCAGACATGAAAGTGCCATTTACATTGCGGGAACGATCCTGAAGCTGCAAAGCACAATGAAATTCCAACTCATCCACCAGCAACACAACCATCCAGGAGTTGCAAAACACAATGGAATTCCATCAACAGCACGCAGACAAGAAACAGGTAAACGCTGTAATTACAATGGAGGGACGATTCGAGCAAGACCGTCCGAAAACCGTCGTTCCGCAGAGCTTGACTTGCCAGGTTCGGAGCCACCCTTTGTATAGAAACACGCAACATTTCGTGCTTCCGCTATCTCTCAAACACGCACCTTGTACTACTTTGTACAAGACTTCCTTCCAAATGCATTTTGAACACCTGCAAAACCAGATAGGAGCTAACTAACGCTAGAGCTGACTGGAGTTAGAGGTAAGTAAAGCTAGAGCTGACTGGAGCTAAAGTGGAGCAAGAGAGCTGACTGCAACTACAGCTAACTAAAGCTAGAGCTGCCTGGAGTTAGAGCTAATTAAAGCTAGAGCTGACTGGAGCTAAAGTGGAGCTAGAGAGCTGACTGAAACTAGAGCTAACTAGAGCTAGAGCTGTTGAAAGTCCGTAACACGGAAGTTTTGCACCCTAAACTTTGATAAGAGTGTCCCATGGGAGTCCTACAAGAGTGCTCCGCAAGAGTGCCCCACAAGAGTGCCCGACAAAAGTGTCCACAACAGTGACATACAAGAGTGTCGCGCAAGAGTGTCCTACAAGAGTGTTCCGCAAGAGTGTCCCACAAGAGTGAGTGTCATACAAGGTGTCCCACCAGAGCGCGCAAGAGCGTCCCACAAAGCTTTCCGAAAAGAATGTGTCCTACAAGAGTGTCCCACAAAAGTGTCTCCTACAAGAGTGTCTTAAAAATTGATCGGGTGTTTGTTTTCGAGGACGTGTTTGCATTCGAGTTCGTGGGTGCCATTTTGTTTTTCTTTTTGGGGGTTTCCCCAAACTGTACCACCATCACCTCTCTGGACCCCAATGCGTCTAGATCTCTAGACTTTCTGCTGCTACACCTCTGGAAGAGACACACTGTTTGGGGTCTCTTACCGGGATGATATTATGCAGCATGTCCCTGGATACGCAAAAGCTTTTGCAAAGAGTTGAACGTTCATGGTCAATGTTCAAGATTCCAAGGGAAGATTCTGAAACTCCAGACCCGCGCGTGTTCAAATTCATTGCTTTGCTAAGCCCGCAGTTCACTTTTAATCTTGGCCAAACACATTTACTTTTATGTTTACTCGCAAAAGTCACGGATTGATTGTGCTCCTTCCGCCTGGACGGTCTCCAAGTTGGTGGTGAATTGATGTGAATATGCGCAATGTGTCAAGGGCAAGCAACCTGCATCCCTTTTCGCAACCTGAAACCAAACACTTCATGAACGACGTGTAGTCCAGACATAAAACCGATGGAATTTTTTCTGACCGACGCAGCTGCAGGCGGGACCGTAGTCGCAGGAGACGAAAAGGTGACTGGCGTGACGACATGGAAGAGTTCATCAGAAAGAAACTTGTTCTGCAATCTCTGCAGTCGACAAGATTATGAAGGTTTTGTTGGTTGGACGGTTGGACATGATTGGACGTGCAGTTGTGCAAGATTGAAACTTTACAGGTGTAGTTCGTTTGAATTTCAAGTGGCTGCCCCAGAACCATTTTCAAACATTTGGCTCTTAAGCACGGGTGTCCAAATTCCAGGTACTCAAAACCTACAATGGGAACATGAGGGTGTCACAAGGGCCATTTGTGCGTCCTTCTTGCTTTGCTAATGCCAAGTGTGCAGGAACGGTCTTGACACACGTACTCAAGATGCACTTTTTGCTCTCAACAAGACCATTGCCCTCACCGTGATGGGCATGGACGGTGGGAGGAACACGTCTCTTGTCCAAACTTTCAAACTCAAGCTTTACAGGCCTGCACACCCTTGATTGCCAGACCTCCAATTCCTAAATGGTTGCTATTGCAAAGAAAATCCTCATGTTTTTGATACAAATTTGCAGACAGAATGCATCATGCTGTTCCGTGAGCTTGGAGGTTTCTACTTGAAGGTGTGCGAAATCCTGATGCCGTGGTGATGTCAAGGATCCGCATTGCCACCGGCCAGCAGCGGCGATAGTTGGTGTGTCCCAACGAATGGATCGCCCAAGACGGGTCTGTGTTTGGCCGTACAGATAACCTTTCTACAGAATGCTCAGTGAAACATTTGTGCTTATGAACTTGTGGCAAGCAAACTTGTAGATTTGACATTCTACTACGCAGAAGCCTTTTTGTTGGGAGTTATTATTCTGGTTGAGAAGACAAGGCAGCCTGTCAAGCGATGAAACAGGTATCAAAGTGAGACCTGTTCTCAAGCAAGCCTTTTCTGCACAAGAGCCTTGCACCCCGCCCAAATGTTGAGGGTACATAGGACAGTTGGACGTAGGGATGAACAAAACAAACACCTTCAATCGTGCTAAACAAGGCACTGAAATCAGTGGGAAGGCAGGAATAGCCAGTTTGTGAATCTAACCTAGAGGACCTGAAAGAAACGACCACTTGTAAGACCTGACAGACAGGTTTAGAAAGTATTTGACTTGAAGAACACATTGCATAACTGTGGAACTGTGCACGCCCCGTCGGTGCGGCGCCCGATCGTTTTCGACTCAAGACCGTGGGGCTCGAGCTAGGAAAGGGTCCGTCGCTGCCACGTTTAAGTGGCAGCGGAGCGAGGTTTGCGATCCGGGGCCTGGCGTGGGGACTTCGAGCTCGGCTACGGCGGGTACACGTTCCTTGGTTTGGGGTGGACGTGGTTGAGGGGTTCTCGAGCGTCGCGGTCGACGAGGAGACGGATGACCTCTTACTATACGGCCTTTGAGGTAAATCCGCAGGACGATTCGGAATGGGGGAATCCACTGGAGGATGTGAGTGGCTTTGGCAGCGACAATTGGCACATGCCAGGAGAGGGTTGGTCGTGGTCTACGTCGTGGAGGAGCTGGAGGGTTCTGGCCAGGCTAGTCACGGGATGGTCATAGTTCTTAGTGATCGGCATTCGGATGGGGCTGGATCCTATGCGGGACGAGAGAGACCGAGTCGTGGGTCATGTACGTGGGGCACCAGCCCAATCACCGGTCTCTCCCGGCTATGACCGTCATGGCAACCCACCGGAGAGGTCTACCCACCGCTGAGGGGACCTGGTGACGAGGGCAAGACCAACGCCCAGAACAAGGGGAAGGTGAGCAGCTCCTATCCGCCAGTCTTTCGGGCTAAGGCGGGAGAGAGCTATCGAGATTGGCGTCGGGCGTTCGGAGGTGAAGGGCGTCAGATTCTGGAGGACATTGGGCCACAGATCATGGTGCAACTACGTGGCCGCGCCGCCCAACTAGTTAAGCGCTTGAACAACAGCGATGTCAATCGACCAGGAGGCATGCAGAAGATCTTCGATGTGTTGGAACGAAGCCCCCTGGTGAAACAACTTGACAAGCATCGCATCGATCAACAGAGGAAGAAGCTCATGGCCCTCACTCGAGAATCGTTGGAGAGCTAGATTACCCGGGGTAGCATCTACCGCGCGCAACTCTTGGGGCTCGATTCAACCTTGGAGCGATGGGCGAGAGGTTCTATGTGGGGCACCTTCTGGATCACGCCAGGCTTACCCGTCGAGACAAGGTTTTAGTTCGAGCCCGTGCAGGCGATGAGTCCGAGGAGGCCATAACCAATGCCATGGTGGAGCCCGCGGCCGAGCTGGAGGGTGAACATGGGTTCCCGATGGGTGCGTCGGAACCGAACACCGCAGGTGCAGGTGCAGCGGAGTGGGGCTGCAGGGCTACATCCAGGACGTCGTGGAGGAGCGCGGCAAGCCTTGGTGGCCGAGTGGAGGAGACAACCACTCCGGCAGAGATGGACGAGCTCGGAGAGGATAGTCTGGAAGAAGATAAGTTGAATGAGAAGCCTGTGCCATGCACTGTAAGGCCAAGCAGAGGATGGCTGAAGCGAAGAAATTGAGACAATATACTACAAGAAAGGTGACCAGCTGGAGGAGCGCAAGAAGATGCTCGTGGACAAGATCAAGAATACGGCCTGCCATAAGTGTGGGGAAATCGGCTGGGTCGAGAGTGCCCTCGCCCGAAGGCGCAACCTGTTTTGATGGCTACGCTAGCAATGGGCGAAAGCCGTGCCGGGCCAAGAAGGGCCCAGCTTCTTCTTCACTCAAGATTGCCTCCGTACCTGAAGAGTCGGAAGGTGGCCATGAGTGGGATCTTTTGGTGTCTCTATGCACGGTTAATGAGGCCTCACCGAGATCTTCATCCGCGTGCGCATGTATGACGCTGCCGTGTGGGGTGGGGCCGATCGGCGGGGTGGCCGATCATGCGTGTGAAGGAATTGGCCACGGCTGTCATTTTGGACATCAGATGCTTGAAGTCGGTGACGGGCGCCGCATGGATGAATCAACTCCTCAAAAGGTGGCAGGGCGAACAATGAACAACGTTGGTTTAAGGTCTACAATTTCCGGTTTGGTAGCGGGGACATGCTCACCAGTCGCTACGGAGTGCAGTTCGAGGTGGTGTTAGGGTTCTCGGTGGTGGAGGGGGACTGTCCCGAACTTCTTTCAAGACACGCTTGTATTCAGCTCGGATCCATTTTGACTGCGAGCGCCACCTGTTGACGTCCAAGAAGTTGGGAGTGAAGGGTTACGGGCTGAAGCAAACATCTAGTGGGCGCTACATTATGGAGGTGGCGGAGTTCGAAGGGGTTTGGGACCATGGAAGGTACCGGAGGCGGGCCAAGAGGCCTGCAGTCTGGTCTTGATCGACAATGATGTCTTGATGGGCGAGAGTTTTGGCTCAGACACAGCCTTCGACGTCGACGCTCCTGTTCATCCTTCGCACGTCGCGGACCGCGACGGGCTTCTGCAGGGTATGCGGCGACAGCTCTCACCGGAGCCGCGACTGCCCCAACCTGCAGTCAGAAGACGAACAGTTGAGCCACTCGCAGAGCGCCCTGGAGATGGACATCGAGAGCCAGCGCAGCCGGGCAAACCAGTGGGGAGAGCCAGCAACGCCCCGACGCGGGGCTTCCTGCCGTGGAGCGTTCATCGCCGAAGAGGACGCCCAAGACGCATGCCAAGGCGATGGGAAGCGGGCGAATGGCCACTCTGGACAAGGCCGAGCAGTACTGCCTCGACCAGGACGAGCAGGAGACGATCGTCGTGGGGGAGCTGACGCCTCAATGGCCGCGGAGAGCTTCGAGCATGGGGACTTCATCCGGGCGGTTCTCGCGGAGGTCCAGTACTCCGACTTCACGGGAGCCACTGAAAGCACTACCTGCATGGTGATCGACGCCAAGACGGGCTATGACGTGCTCTCCTAGAGCATGACCAGTGATCTTGATCGATGCGGCAGTCCTCAGGGAGGCCCTGGTGGAGGGGGGAGCGAGAACTTCATCCGCTGGATGCCAGGGAAGGAGACTGAGATGGTGAGCGACGGATTCACGAAGTGGGCCGACAATGGAGTGCTCTTGCAAGTGCTTCAAGAAGGCACATGGAGCCTCGTGGACACAGAGGACGCGAGGCAGTTGCGGCTGGAAGCTGCAGAGCACAAAAGGCGCCACGTTCAAAAGGCCAAGCGCGCACCGACACCATAGGGCGGTTGTGTGGAACTGTGCGTGCCCCGTCGGTGCGGCGGCCGATCGTTTTCGACTCAAGACCATGGGGCTCGAGCTAGGAAAGGGTCCGTCGCTGCCACGTGTAAGTATAACCACACAACTTGGTTCTGTTGCACGACCACAGTGTGTAGTTGGAGTGAGTGTTGCCACGGCGCAAGGCAACTCACCAATTGAATTATTCAATGCTTCAGACAGTTGACAGCTCTCTAGAATAGACAACCAAGTCTTCAGACAATTCGGTTGACATTTCTTCTTGGAGCTGCGGCTAGGGGCCTGTATATAGAGTGGTTGGGTCTAGACCGTGGGCAGCAACGAGGTTCCTTGAGAAGCAATCATGCGGACCTGTCTTTTTGCTCTGGGAGCAGCCAGCAGCCATGTTGGGTCAGAAAACGGGTTTTGAGCTCTGTTTGGATAATTGTTTTGGGATTTGCTTGATAACTTGAGCTTGTGGTCCACCAGGTTCATTGAGGTGAACTGTGCCACCATCTAACTGCCATGTCCGAAATATTCGCTTAATGTCTGGAGAAGCTAAAAAAACACCCGGATGTACTCTTGTACATTCTACCTATTTCTACCTTATCACCGGTACCACGGCCTACTCATACTCCCCCTAAGAAGGACAAGCCAAAGAGGCAGAAAACCAATGAAAAATAACAACGCATTAACAACGGCTCTCAGGGGTCCGGCATCCATTCAGTTGGGCGGGGCCTGACGGCGCTCCCAACTTGCCAGACAAGATCGCTTGCTGGGCTTGAGCGGCTCATCTATGAACGGTAACAGACCGTGAACAGCTTGTCACGCTTTAGAGTGAGAAAGAAAGTAAGGGATGGGATTGTTTTTGCCCTGTTCGTCACTGGACATTTGTCATTTCGACCAAGGACTCAAGGACAAATCTTGGGCTACCATGTTTTGAACCAAGCTCCAAGCTCTCAAATGGTGGTGTGTCATTTTATCCCTAGAGAGTTGTTTTTGTTAAGCACACACACACACTATATATATAATATATCCAGGTCCTGGGCAAATGCACTTTGTGGCTATGTGCTGTCAGGTTGCAATGTATGTCCTAGTGGTTGCAACGACTTGTGCATTTGTAGCTTGGAGGCACTGGGTTGCTCTGTATACTATACAGTAGGGTGCGCAGGATTCTTGCAGAGAGGCTCAGACCGACTGTCCCGCTTCCAACTGCAGAAGACCTGCAGAAGGTTTGCGATCAGCAAAGCTTTCGCCATGTTAGCCAATCAGAAGCTTCTAATTGAGACCATGCAGGCATGTCACAGGCTCGAAACGAAGATGCAATCTGAACCCCGAGTCAAACCACAAATGCATTGTTCTTCAGGCCACTTGCTGCACTTGCTGCAAGACTTGAATTGAATTCGAGAAGAATCAAATTGTGTTTTGGCTTGTGACAAACGTGGGCGCTTTTGCTCACGTGTCAGCCACTGGAGAGGCACAATGAGAACATACTTTCGCTGGTCAGCAAAGTGTGCGCCAAGATGAGTCTGGCAGACATCGGCTCCGAGTGTGAGCAGGTTCGTGAAGTTCTGAAGGACACTGGCACCATGTTCTCAACTCTTCAAGATGCCTCAACTGCGGATTTATCACAAGTCTTGGGCGATGTGAAGAAGTACGCTGCCGAAGTGGTGACGCAGGACTGGGGAGACCATGCAGTCTTCAGTCATTCGCACAGTTTCCTTGTGCTAGCTTTGCTTTGCTTTGCTTTGCAGCTGTTTGAGGTGCTAGCATCATTCCGCCTTCTTCCCATTATTCTGCCTTCCTTTTGCCTTGTTTGACGCCTCTTTCCGTCTCTCTTTTCTGCGTTTGAAACAGCAGGAGTCTCGCGAGATGCAGTCGGCTCTGCACAAGAAAACCGATGCCCTAACCCAGGACGCACCTCCTTTGCTAATACTGTACCATTCCGCTTGGTTTGGTTACAAGAAGCACAAACCTTCACGTTTCAATGCAAGAACAGGGGGAGTTGCACAATTCCGACCAAGCCATTCAAATCCATACAGTGCTATGTAGATAGAAGATTATAGAAGAACTTGAACTACTGGCGTGATTCATCAGGGTCAGACATTGACAGGACGTGAACGAACGCTTCAAGAAGCTTGAGGTGCTTCGCACTCCCGACTTTAAAGACATGTTCTTTGCCACTTGCACCACACCAAGCGATTGATTGACATTTCTGCAGATTTTCTGCAGGCCCGGGTGCTCTCTGACTTGGGTAGTGGTGAAGGTGAACCGAAGGCAAGGGCAGGAAATGGGAAAAGGATGGAGTCGAGGCATTTAGGTGAGCATCAACTAATCGACAGAACAAGTCTATCTAAATTCTATGCACAAGCTTGGCGACATGGCCAGGGTACGAAGGGTGACAGCCAACTCCTGAAGAAGATGACAAATCGGATGAGTGACTTTGAATCTCAAGTTTCTGCACAAATCCAGCAGCTGACCCAGGCCATGCGCTCATCTGAGTCATGCTTTGTTTTTTGGATCTCTTTTGAGTCGGATCTCTTTTGATCACCACTTTTATCCAGGATGTGGAGAAGAAGATTTCCTTCTTGGGCTCTCAGCGTGCAGGTGCCGACACCGTACCAGGTTTGGAAAGCTTAGCACAGGATGTGGACACGGTGAAGTATGACATTGGAGAGCTGAAGGAGAAGGGTCTCAGTTGAATTCTGTACATCACAAATCATACCATTGTACATGCCACTCTATGATCCTCACTCCCCCCAAAAAAGAGGTCACTGTTGGACCAAATCAAGACTACCTTCGCTCTCCGACCGTGGTGTAGTTGGCCATGCCGACTCCGCCCTCAAAGCACTCCCTTCAGCAATCTCTTCCTGACGCATAAGCAGGGTGTGCATTTTAGGAGGAAAGACCATCAGAAGGTCTGGACCCAGCGGGATGCTCATTGTTGATGTCTTTGCTGTCAAGCCCCCTTCTTCTGCTTCAGCTCTTGCCGCCGCGGCACCCGAAGCCTTTGCGCCTGCCACCCTTGTCTCATGCCCTGCACCCCAGCTCCCTGAAGACAATGATGCAGTTCCAAGTGCTTCTCGATCTTTCTCAGCCGAGGCTAGCTTCCACTGAGCCTGAATCTTATCGTGGAAAGAGAGCATATCCTGTCCACTGGCCCCCATCGTCCACTCATCATGGATCACTGCCTTGAGCCACTCACAGGTTATGCCACTGTATGCCGCTCAGCGCTCAAAGGAGGTGAATTGGGAAAACAGATTCCCCCTCCGCTCGACCAAGGTGGCGGACCCACCACCCATCGCGATGACTCCCAGGGACCAAACGACAGTGGAAGCCGCGTGGCTGCTATCCGCGGCAATGGCTCTTTGGCTGCGCGTGCACTGGAATTCAACCCTGTGCAGCCCCTCGGGCTAAAGTCTAAAGTCAACTCTACCTTACTCCTATTGCTTCTCCACTTTTGATCTTTCTTGTTTCGACCTCCTGTTGCTCGGGAGCCTCGTTCCCAGGAGTGCCGTGGATGGCTAAAGAGACTTCTGCCCCGCTCTTGACAGGTCTACAGATTGCACACGAGCCCCTGCGCATCAATCCGCCGGAGGAGCGCGGTTCCGAGGGCGGCTCACAGTGCGGTGCGGCGGACCGCCTATCACTGCTTTGAGCTTTCCATGTTCTGCCAGGTGCCGCAAATAACTCCACGCTGCCGGATGATGCGCTTTAAATTGAGATCTGAGGATGTGGACCCATCAATTCCCCTTCCAACCACAATTTTTTCACTTTGAGATCTCATGTGAGTGTTCCACCGACATGTCCACTTCGTATAGTCCTAACATGTGAGAAAGATCCCGACTCCGGCACTCCTGGAAAATGCTTCAGTCACCAAGTCACCGTTGACGCTGTTCCTCCGACCCTGAGCGTGTCCAGTGCTTCACGTCAAGCGAATCGGCCCCAAAATCGCATGCTTAATGGTGCGCCCTTCCTTTTTCCACTCAATCTTGTAGCCCTTCTGCACCAAGGTGTTGAGCGGTATGATCGTTCCCACCTCTTGAAGCGACACCAACCTCAGATGCCCTGAGTGCTTGTACAGTATCACTGATTCTTCCACAGTGCGTGAGTAACCCACCGTCCAACAGTACCCATTCTCCTTGATGAGCCTCCTGTCCCATGACCACCACCGCCTGTTTGATTTCGATGGCCTTTATCGCCTTCAAAGTCTCCAAAAGGCTTGTCGCCTCTGAAAGCAGAGCCGCCGTTGGATCACTATCCATTGGTCCTTCACTTCCCTCCAGCTCCCACCACCTTCCGCCACTGACGATGCCGAGCGCTCTGGTAGAAGTCGATGTAGGATCTCCGATTGATTTGCCAACACGAGAAGCTTCCTGCCATTTCTCTCAGCTTCCTGCCACTCCCCTTGATGCCCACGAACTCCACCATATTGAAGTGCTCAAAAGACGTTCGTTTAATAGGGTGGATTCATTGTAGTCGCCGTCTCACCGCTTTTCAAGCATGCTTGCTGAGAGTATGACTGAGGACTTGTTGAACGGCACCAAGAACGACACTTCCCAAGTTAAGCGAATTGTATTGGCTTGCGAGAGGGATATGGAGGATTTTACCGCAGCTGAGCTGCAAAGGAAAAGGCAATACGTTTCAGTACCCATGTCTGATCATTTCTGCCACACAATTTCTGAGGCTGCCATGGATGCCGTGAATGTGGATTTGGACGAGATGCGTGCACGAGTGGATTCGACGCATTCCATTATCACATCTCGGCAGCGCGTGGAGGTGCCTATTGACGAATCCAGCCACATAATGGGAAAACAGTACTGGTATTGCCAACAAGATTCTATGATGAAGCTAGTATGTTCAAACAATACTCGAAATTGCAATGTTATATAAATAGAACTTGAAACAATGCTTGAACATTTCTGAGGCGACGGTCACCGCTGAGATTTCCACAATCCGATTGGACATGGGTGACATGCAAGAGGCATTGAAAGCGCACGATGCCTGGATGGAGGATGTCTCCCAAAGTTTACAGGAGGTTCACGAACGCTGCCAGCAGCTTTCAGAGGACATCGGTGAACATGCACAAAACACTCAAGCAAAACTCGAAGCGAAAACCGACGTCACTGCGTGGAATGACATGAACGACGACATCGATTCCTCTATCAAGACTGTAAGGGATATGGCATCAGCCCTCCGTTTGGAGGTTGACAGCAGGCGACGCAAGGTTGATGAAGATGTGGGAAGCTTGCGCGAGCAGCTTAAAACTTTGGCCGAGAGGGTGGACGCCAATGCTTCAAACATTCAGCGAACCTTGGTAGTGAAGGATTGTTGCGAGTCACATGGAACATGAAAATACTTTGCACAAGATTTGATCAAGTTGCGTAGACATATTTGACGGCCTTTGAACACAATTTGATTCCGGCATGTTCCTACATTGCCAAGTTGCTTTGACCCTGATCCCAGGCTATGTGGATGACACGCACCAGATTGTCTCGCAGCGTTTGGACGAACGTGTGCAGCACTGCAAGGTGCGGCGTTCGGCTGTGTACCCCTTTGCACCTTTGAACTGTTGGCCACAGCTTTGCAAGCACATCAGTTGTTTGAAAAATTGAGCTGAGTTTTGATGATGTTCGTGAGGATCTGGAGAACGCCTTGGGTGTCTTGGACTTTTGCTGTCGTGTATGAAGTTTGGAGTGAGTTCAGGTGTTACCTTCAAATTGACAGATGTTGACAGTCTTCACTTCCCATTTTGCACTTTCACAGGCATTTCGCTTGGCTTCCTGGCCTTCCATATTGTCACTTCAATAGTAAGGCTAGGGATGTCAACTATCTATCTATCTATCTATCTATCTACCTATCTACCTATCTACCTATCTACCTATCTACCTATCTATCTATCTATCTATCTATCTATCTATCTATCTATCTATTATCTATCTACCTATCTACCTACCTATCTATCTATCTATCTATCGATCTAGCTATCCATCCATCCATCCATCCATCCATCCATCCACCATCCATCTATCATAAATATTGTACTGGTACACTATGCAGCGGCACAGCGCCCTGTGCTACGAGCCATTGCCAGAATCGTCAGTATTATGAATTAATCTGGGAAGACAAGCCTCACTGTAATGATCAGATTTTGTCAGTCGAGCATAGGGATTCAGTGTTCTGAGTGCTGGCGAAACATTTCAATTAGATGATTTCGGACGTTCAGGTCTCGCTGTAGCAATTTTACCGTTTTGTTGTTCACAAAATAGAAACACTATATATATATACACATAATCATCTTTCGCTGTGTAAAACTGTAGACAACTGCGACCCTGGCACTGTGCCAGCATCTCTGAGCTGATAGGACAAAAGTTTAGTGCCACTGCAGTCCATGCCGGTATGATGAGGCCGTCACAGCGAGACCCACCAGCAGATTCACTCTAAGATGGATACCCACCGAGAAGACTTTGAGACAAGGACCTGATCGCTTTTTCTGCACATGCAATATAGCAAGACTGTCAAGATATAGCAGCACCATGCTTACCGTAGAGTTCTACCATAGAGTTGCAAATGCTCACTGCTCAGGACGTCTCAGCTGGAAGCACACCTGCAAAAGCAAGACGAAGATTTGCACAAGGAGGTGAACGATCGCATTGATGGACCCTTGGACTTCGACGGGTGCCCGTGCTTTCCTGCATATGTTGTTAAATTCGTTTATGTAACCATGTTGTGTATTTATGTAAGACTATACTATATATAACTAATTTGTGAAAGGAGGAAGATAAGCATTAGTATCGAGTTGCCATGTGAATCACTTGAGCGTCATCAGCCGACTCGCCATTCGACACCTTTCGTCGGTGTGGGTTTGTTCGATGCCTGATGATGCTGTGCCCTCTTGGAACGGGGGTCCTTCGAAGCCTTCAGCATCGCTGGTCGATGATTTGAGCATAGCTTGAAGGACTCCGAATGCAAAAACGCCGCTCCAAGGGCTTCATCACGTCTTCAAGGTGAGGCCAACGCAGTTGTTCGACGCTTGGATACAGCGCAGTGCGTTCGAGATGGAGGCTTGACAAAGTTGCTTGCAGCTTTGCGTGCGTCACCCTTACAACAGCTTCCAGTGCCAGATTTTTCCAAAGGCTGGAGCGTTGGCATAATAGGGACAATGGCTGTGCAGACATGCAGCAAGCCCCCTATGGAGCCCGGGAAGATCGACGACGAAAAAACATCGCAACTTCGAGAAGAGCGATGGGCGAACTCCCTCTCAGGCTGATGGGAACCGTCCGATTGCTAGAGCAGGCAGTTGGGACTTCGTTTTCATCGGCTGTGCAAGTACCCCAGGTCCATGTTGTTGCAGCCGTTTCAGCGCCTACAATCAAAGACTTTTGGGAAGACGAACTTCGTGGGTACAGGCTGCTTAAGGCAGCTCGTGTTGACGAAGACAATCAGTTCAATAGAGCTTGGGTTGACCATGCGTGCCCTTCATACAATGGGTGTAGTTTCCAAAGGTTCCCTTTTGTCGTGCAGCTCGAGGTGCATTCTTTAATAAGGAAAGGTTCGGTGAAGGCCACCAGACGTCCTGGGATCACTTGGTATTGGTGGGAAGACAGTCCCACTGTACGAATGGTGTGGATTCATGACTTCCGAAATTCGGGTGTGCTTGAATAGCGCAAAGAAGGTTTTGCACACAGCTGCAGCTCAATGTCAATCGACAATGCAAAAGGCCACTGAGGCTGAGGATACTTCGCGGATCTGCAGTGGTCGCCTTGGACCGTGTCTTGCTTTCGGCCAGCCAGGCCATTTCTCCAGGCCAGCGTGGTGGAAAAGGAAAGCCAAAGTCCATATCGTCATACAAAGGCAAGGGGAAAAGTTGTGTTGGCGGTCTCGCAATTTCAAATAAGAAAGCTTAGTTCAGCGATTTTTGCCAACTATGAAAATTCAGCAAGAAATTAATAAACTCTGACCACTTTTGTAAGTTATCATAAGTTTGTAACTATTTTTTAAGTTCGCAAAAAGTGGCTCCTAAGTACAGTTCAAGCTTCAGTGCTTACAATGTCTCGTTTTTGGCGCAACATGTTGTTGACAGTTGCGCCCAACATGGGCTTTGTTCTCATGCCAGCGAGATAGCGTCGGCCCAGTCCTAATTTGTAGGTTTGAGCTCTAGCGGAACTTGCAAATTCTTTTTGGTGCGGGCTCCCATGATCTGGTGAAGGCTTCGAAGATTGGCTAGGCTTTCTACGGTCACGCAGTGGTTCAGAGATTTTGAGGTTTCTGGCAGGCTTTTACATTGGCAACAATTGTTCGCTTTGACGTGGGCCGATGGATCTCAGTTCAACCGGCCTGACAGGTCAATCCACGGATGTTGGGGAAACCTCCAGAACAGTGCCATGGTTCGACTAGGGCGGAGGCGCGGCAATCGCTGAAGGTGAGGATTCGATGCCGCGTTCCGCGCCCGAGCTTTGCTGGCAGAGCCTTTTGGCGCCTCTTTCAGTTCCAGAGCCGAGCTCTATGCAAGGTCGCTGGTGCGCTTGTGACGGACAGTCGTGGAGTTTACGGCGCCGTGGTCACCAACATGTGGGCATTGCGTGGCTCGTGCAAGTCTCGAGCGAGTTCTACTTAATCTGAGCAGTCGGCCACGCAGTTCAGATTTGACCGCAGTTGAGGTGGGCCAACGGAGCAGTTTAGCACAGTCAAGCGGCGCGTGGCGTGTGTTGTTGAGATTGTTTGCTGTTGGCTACTTTGGAGACTGATTCGTGATGAATCTTTCGAAGCTGGAAGAAAGGGGGCCCTTTGAGAAAGCCTGCAGCAAGAAGCTACGTTCAGGTATTGTCCATGATAGGCGATGGCCTTGGCGGACGTGAGCGTGAAGAGCTCAGGAGTGGGACTGATGTGAGTCAAGGCGCCGTGTGAGTCACCTTCTTCATGTGACGGGACTCATCGGCCAACGCGCGCTAGTTGGTAGCACTGAGCATTGCGTTGCATTGTGTTGTGACGGAGAGAGGAGGGAGGACAGGGAGGAAAGGAAGAGGAAAGGAAGAGGAAAAGAAGAGGAAAAGAAGAGGACAGGACGAGGACAGGCAGAAAAAGGACAGGCTGAATGATTCAGTGAGACCCTAAAATTCGACTGGAATCAAAGCCCTGCGTCAAAGCTGGAAGAGTGAATAGTTAGCAAAACATCTTGAGTGAATTCCCGTGTACTGTATATAGTTGGAAAAGGAACAATTCTGGTTGAAGTTGTGAGCATTCAAGTGACAGCCTAGGCCGAGATGGTGCAATCCTAAGAATCCTAAAGCCTCTAGCGCCACTGGAAGTGCCTAAGCAAACGAGTCCCAGCCAACCTACCCAGGAAGACGCAAGCATTCAAACGGGTTGGCCTTGCGCGGAGCAACCGTCGTTGACTCAAGTGCTACATGCAAGAGCATGGCGCCAATTGCCCAGTTAGTTCACTTTACGCACTAGGATATTCTCGAAAGACAACTCCACGAACATAGTTTTTTGAGTACAGATGGAACATGATGTTTCACGCAAACTAACACGACTTAACTGTAAACAAAACCAAACTGTGTAGGGAGACTTCACACAAAACCGCGTGACACGCAAACTCAAATCTGAAACGCTCGTGGTAATGCGCTTTGGGTTTTTGGGCAGCACACTTTCGAGTTGAATGTAATTATATGTGGGTGTGTGTGTATGTATATATATTCCCCAACACGGAATCGCGGCCTAGATCAGGGAGGTCTAGATCAGATAGGCTTCAGAAAATTAGGGTAGTGAAAATATGTGAAAATATGTTGAACATGTGTGCTTAAGTGGTTTTAAATGTGTTTATATGTTGTTTCCTTTTATTTGCTGTTGCTGTCGCTGGTCCTTGCACATGGCATTTAGCAGCTTGGAAAACGTCGCTCAGTTTTCACATGAGTTCAACATTTGTTTGATGAGGCTGCGCTCTGTGTTTTCTTTGTTTGGAGAATTCCAGCTGACTTCCAGCTGCAATTGACTTCCAGCCAAGATGAGAGTGGACTGAGTTTGATGCGCGTAGTGTCTGGTACATGTTTGGGATCAAGGACAAAAACATCATATGTCATATATATATATTTACATGTGTATAGTTCACAAAGAGTTGATTGAAATTCAGAATTTTGCACTTGCTTGCATATTTATGTACATTTTTGCATATTTAAATTCGCGCATTTCCGCACATCTTTACACGTTTTTGCACATTCTACACATTTCCGCATATCTTCGCACATTCCCGCACGTTTTGAACTCGCAGAATTCCACACATTTTTGCACATTGTGATGACCTGCAAAGAACCCCCCAAAAAAAAGGTGTAACAAATGTATGCTTATGTACATTTGTGATTCACTCCTCTTATTCTATAGCTGTGTTTGAATTGGTACTCGTGGATGTGCTTTCATATTTTTGCATTTAAAATCTCTTTAAAGCATTTTCCCCAGATAGCAAAGCTATGGAGTTCATACTTCAAATAGCAATGAGTTGCCCGCGAGCACTTTCGAGACAGGTTGCACAGCACCACGTGCACAGCCAGCTCACAGCACCAGCGCCGGCGCCAGCGACCCAGCTCACAGCGCCCGGCGCCCAGCACCAGCACCGGCGCCGCCAACCTGTCTCCACTGCGTGCGCAGCCAGCTCACAGCGCCAGCACCAGCCTGTCTCCACCGCTGGTGCTGGTGGTGGAGACAGGTTGCTGGTGCTGGGTGCTGGTGCTGGTGCTGTGACCTGGCTGCGCGCGTGGAGGAGATAGGTTGTAGGTTGCTGGTGCTGGGGGCGCCGGTGCTGGCGCGGGTGCTGTGAGCTGGCTGTGCACGTGGTGGAGACAGGTTGCTGGTGCTGGCGCTGTCTGGTGGAGATGATTGTTTTGTCCCCCAGATAGCGACAGCTATGGGGTTCTTATCATTTCATTTGACAATGAGCTGTGTGCGCGCTTTCGAGCGCCGGTGCCGGGTGCTGGTGCTGGCTGTGGTGCTGGTGCTGGGTGCTATGAGCTGGCTGTGCGCGTGGTGGAAACAGGGTCGGTGCTGGGCGCCGGTGCCGGGTGCTGGTGCGGGCTGTGGTGCTGTGCTGGGTGTGGGCGCCGGTGCTGGGTGCTGGCTGTGCGCGTGGTGGAGACAGGGTGCCGGGTGCTGGTGCTGGGTGCTGGGTATACCGGTGCTGTGCGCCGTGAGCTGGCGTACCGGTGCTCGGTGCTGGCGCCCGCTTCTGATAGTGAAGTGACAACAACCGCCGCTTCTGACAGTGAAGGGTAACAAACCGCCCCTTGCAGCAGTGAAGGGCGACCAAGCGCCGCTTCTGACAATGAAGCGCCAGCAGTCATGGGCCGCGCATACGGTGTTGTCGCTTGAGCGTTCTTTGTCGATTAGCGCTGTGAGGTATTTACACTATTTTACACTCTTCAGGTTCTGTTTTGGCCGACAGCTGTGTCAAGACTGTACTGTTTGCGCGCATACTTTTGCACGTATAATGTTCTATGCGCAACGTCAGGCTCTCAACCGACCATTGTTTCAGCATGTTTCAGCATGCTACACACACACACACACAATAGTCGCGCTGGATACTGCTTGGCCTTGGGCGAGTGAAGCCTATGCGCTTTGCCGTTTGCGCGCATAAACATCACGCGGCCTTATCGTTCTGCAGGTCGTTGCTTCAAGCATGCTACAAAGTCAATAGTGGCGCTGGATACTGCTTGGCCTTGGGCCAATGACTGACACTTACGGGCTTTGCTGTCTGTGCGCATACTTTTGCGCGCATGAACGTATACGCGCAAGATCATACGTTGTTATTCCCCAAGCAGGGATAGCTATGGGGTTCTTACTACAAATAAGAATGAGCTGGCTGCGCGCCTTCGAAAGGGTGTCGGCGCTGGCGCTGGTATTGTGGTCCTGGGTGCTGGTGCTGTGAGCTGGCTGAGCGCGCGTTTTAAATGGGCGGCGGCGCTGGTGGGGTGCTGGCGCCACTGCCTGTGTTGTCAGCTGGCAAAGCGCACGGGTGCTGGTGTCAGCTGATTGCGCCCTGTGGAGGTGCCGCAAGCTGGCTGTGCAGGCTGAGTACATTCTTGTTCCAGCCAGTCGCATGTCAACAGGTTGTGGGAGCTATCTGGGTCTATGCTGGTGTAATTTTTGCAGGATCCATGAACCAAAAACCTCTTTGAACTTAACCTCCCTGATCCAACCCTGGCTTTTGTTTGATGATATATATATATAGATCGTCCTGGAGTAGATCGAATCCGGAATGGAAAGGGGGTAATCGTCTTTTGCAAAGGCTGGTGGTTTTGGATACGAAGGTTAAAAAAACACGAAAGAACGCCCCATCATAGATGGATCATTGTTCAATATTCAATTGCTTTTTGCATTTGTTAGATGAAAAGCAGCCGACCTCTTCTTAAGGACGTCGTGCAGTGAACCATGGGCAGAACAAGGGGAAAAGGGGGAAACGCGAGCCCGCTCGGCGGTTGGTGACGCCCATAAATCCGGGCGCCGGAGGTTACTTAAGGGCTGACGGCCGGCAGCCGGCCAGGGCCCACCACTGGGTCGGCGGTGTTGTTGCTGCTGCTGCTGTTGTTGTTGTTGGTGGTGGTGGTGGGGCTGGTGCTGGTGCTGGCGGTGGTGGTGGTGGTGGCAAAAAAGAAGAATGACAAGTAGACGACAGGGTGGCCCGAAGGCGTATCCAGGAGTAAGCGTTAGAACGAAAGGGTTTCAAACGAAAACGAGCGATCACAGGTGCGTGACGATGTATAGTGTCTGCGTATGTATGACGATGATGATGATGATGTGTATTGCATGAGTATGTATAATGATGATGATGACGACAAACGAAACAAACAAATGAAACAGCCACTGATTTTGATCCTGCAAAACTCGTGCTCGCGGGACATCCAGCCGCTACGATTCCAAGCCAAGCATGACATGTGTCTCAGACATCCTGTTAACGCGTATCAGCTACCTCTCTTGTGGCTGCCAAAAACGAAAGCCAGGCAAGACATGAGTCTCAGACCGATCCTGTTAACGAGTTCTAGCGTCGCCCACACCCCGCCCCGCACAGTTCGCGTTGGCGCGGCCGGTGAACGCTTCACGTTTCGGGCGCTTCCCATCTGGCGCTCTTCATCTCTGCTGGCGTCTGCAGCGCCACATGAGTGGCCGGCCGCTTCGTTTTGCGCGCGTCCATTTCATCCATTTTTTGCAATGTGACGATGGCTTCCTGCTCGGCTTCGAGCGCCTCAGCTTGTTCTGGCTGAGGCGATGGGCGTGGTGGAAGGTTCCGGCTGAGGCGATGGCCGTGGCGGCAGGTTCGGCCGAGCGCGTTTTCGTAAACCTCCTAACTTTTCACAGCGACCTTCACGGTTCGGCAAGTGCAGATCAGGCGCCCCAGTTCGGGAACTCTCAGCAAATCCTCCGGAACAAAAAACTCCAAAATTGACGCAAGAAAAATGCCAGCAGGAAATGTCGCGAAAGAACGACGAAAGAAACACATCTGCAACTGCGTGTGACAGCTAGCACATCTGCGTCTGCAAATGTCATGTTCTTCCTGGCAGCAGCTTGGTTGCAACTTCTAATGAACCAGTCAACAACAGAGTATAGCTTGCACATCTGAACATCGTTTGCTTTCAACGTTGCTGAAACTAGCCTTTTTCGCCACAAATGTTGCTCAAAGGAGTGTCCTGGTCGAC